AATCTGAAATCTGTAAATCTGAAAATCTTTGATCAAAGACAACTCCAGGTTCAGATGATTTGGTCTAAGAATTTTGCCATTTAAGCACGAAATAGTGCCAGTCTTTTATAGACTCCTGGAGAACCGGAAAGGCAGAAATACTTCTAGGTTATTTTATGAGGTCAACATAATGTTGCCAAAACTCAGCAGTGTACATGAAGAAAAATTACAGGTGAATCACTCCTAGAAATAAATGTCCAGATCTTAAAGTATTAACACAAATACAGTATGAAATACATAAGAATGATAATTTATTGGCCAGCGCCACGGCTCACTAGGCTAATCCTCCACCTGCGGCCCGGCACCCCGGGTTCTAGTCCTTGTCAGGGCGCCGGATTCTAGTCTTGGTTTCTCTTCCAGTCCAGCTCTCTGCTGTGGCCTGGGAAGGCAGTGGAGGATGGCCCAAGTGCTTGGGCCCTGCACCTGCATGGGAGACCAGGAGGAGGCACCTGGATCCTGGCTTCAGATCTGCGCAGCTCCAGCTGTAGCGGCTACTTGGGGGGTGAACCAATGGAAAAAAGGAAGACCTCTGTCTCTCTCTCTCACTGTCTAACTTTGCCTGTCAGAAAAAAAAAAAATGATAATTTATCAAGACCAAGTTGGGTTTATTTTGAATATGCAAGATTGGTTTAACATTAGAAAAATTATTATGATTTTCTACTTAAAATTCGTATAATCATCTTAATAGATGCCAAATCTTTGATAAAAAACCTCAAATAAATTTCACCATTTATCTGTGATGAAAACTCAGGCAGTAGATATCTTCCTTAGTGTACAGAATGCATTCATTTCTATTTTTGCTTGAATATTTCTGTGCTGTACTCTTGTGTCACCATGTGCAGTGCTCTGCGCCTGTCCGTGCTGATTCTTCCTGACGTCCCCCTGCTGTTCTTTCTAATCAGGTTCAGATGTTAGCTCTTCTGTGCCTTTCCCCAGTTTCCTATAGGTGAAATGTATCTTTTTGGGGGGGGGGGGTTTGTATACTCAGAGTTCTATTATTCAAGTTAGTTACCTGCTTTGAAGTCAGCTGATGAGCAGCCTTAATCCCATTTTAACCCTTTGCCTTGTAAAATACTATTCACAGCTTCCAAATAGGTTATTGGGATGTGGCATTTTGGGGAGATAGTTTTCTGCCTACCACAGTTGTTCCTTTGGGTGTATATCTAGGTGTGGTGCTTCAGATTCGTATGGTAATTTTGTGTTTAACTTGTTAACTGTTTCATCACCATTTTCCATGCCAGCATCATTTCACATTCCCACCAGCAATGTCCTGTTTCTCTACATCTTTGGCATTACTTTTTATTTTCCCTTTCTAAAAATCATTACCACTATAGCATGTACAAAGTATTGGCTTATTGTGATTCTAATTACATTTCCCTGATGATATTAAACATCTTTTATTGTGATTGTTGATCTGGAAATCTTTTAGAGAGTTTGCTTTGCTCATTTTTAAATTCTGGACTATTTTGGCTTTTTGCTATCAAGTTGTAAGAGTTGGCATGTATTCTGGGTCCTAGTGTTTGTGATACATGATACGCAGATATTTTCTCCCATTTTGTAAGTTGTCTTTTACTTTCTTGATAATGTCCTTTGATGTACAAAAGTTTTTAGTTCTTAAGAAGTTCACTTGATCAGTTTTTGTTGCTATTGCTTGTGCTTTTGGTATGAAATCCAAGACTCCATTGCTGAATATGATCATTAAGAGTTACCCCCATAGTATCTTCTAATCATTTTATAATCTTAGTTCTCAGATTTAGGCACTGGTCCATTTTTGGGTAATTTTTGTGCATACAGTGAGGTAGTGATTCAACTTCATCCTTTTGCACATGGTTCTCAATTTGTCCCAGCACCATTGAAGAGACTGTTGTTTCCCCATTAAGTCTTGCTGCCTTGTCAAAATGCAATTAATTGGCAAGCATTTTTGGATGTGTCTCCGGACTCTATTCCTTTGATATGGAAGTATATTCTGATAGTATTGCCACACTGTTTTGATTAGCATAGTGCAGTAAGTTTTGAAATTGGATGATGAGTCCTCTAACACTGTTTTCTACTTGAGACTCCTGTGCAGTTCCCTGTGGATTTGAGAATCAGCTTTTCTGTTACAGTAAAAAGGTACAAGTTTTAAGAATTTTGATAAGTTACAATGGATTTTTAGGTTGTTGTCCTTTTTACAGTATCAGATCTTTTAGTCCATGAACATAGAATGTCTTTCTATTTAATTAGGTCTTTTAAAATTTCTTTAGCAATGTTTTGTTGTTTTTCAAAACTACACTTTAAAAATAGGAAATTATACTGTTATGCAGGTAAATGAATTAATTAAAATTGCCATACCAGTGGCATATAAGTAAATCCAGAAACTTATTTCTGTTTTCCACAGGTTTCCTTGATTACATTAGTTGAGATATTTTCAATTTTAGTTTCCAAACTTCATTTTCTTTTACTTTCACCACTCCCTCTGAAGCCTTTTTCCTTTCTCCCTCTCTTAACCCATCTGCATTTACACTGTAACATTTAATTCTCTAATTGTACTACAAGAAACTTCTGCCACCAACTATTGCTGTATTCATTATAATAAAATCTAGTAGCTGTGGTACACTAATATTTGGTAGAGAAATTTAATTTCAAATATTTATTTAACTCTTAAGATGTTTTTAGTGGAATACTAACTAAATTTCTTGTTTGTTTCCTTTGAATAAAGTGTTGTTGAGACCTGTACCAAGCATAAATAAATCGCACCTGAGTTAGGAGCTTAAGCCAGTAGCCTCAGAACACAGAAGTAAACTAACATACGATTACTTGAATATGATAGATAAAATTCTTTCAAAATTGGGGTATGAAGGATTTGTTGTTCTTGTTATGGATTCATTTTTTTAAAGTATTTATTTGAAAGGCAGAGTTACAGAGAGCAAGCGAGCAAGGGAGAGAGAGAGATCTTCCAACCACTAGTTCAGACCCCAGATGTCCTCAACAGCCAAGGTTGAGCAAGGCCAGAGCCAGGAGTCTGTAACTCCATCCTGGTGTAGGGGCCCAAGCACATGGGCCATCTTCTGCTGCTTTCCCAGGTGCTTTTATTTGGAGCTGGATTAGAAGTGTAGCAGCCATGACACGAACAGGCACCCTTATGGGATGCTGACATCACAGGCAGTGGCTTAACCCGCTGCCACAACGCCAGCCCCAACTTTGTTTTTTCCTTTATCTGAATACAGAATCTTTAAAAAAAAAAAAAGATTTATTCATTTATTTGAAAGTCAGGGTTAGAGGGAGAGACAGAGAGAAAGTGAGATATTACGTCTTCTGGTTCACTCCGCAGATGACCACAATAGCTGTGGCTGGGCCAGGCCAAAGCCAGGAGCTTCTTCCAGGTCTCCCTTATGGGTGCAGAGGCCCAAGGACTTAGGCCATCCTCCACCTCTTTCCCAGGCCCTTAGCAGGGAGCTGGATCAGAAGTGGATCAGCTAGGACTTGACTCGGTGCCCATAGGCGATGCTGACGTTGCAGGTGGTAGCCTCACCACCTGTGCCGCAATGCTAGCCCCCAGAATCATTTTTTCTTAGGAAATGCTATACAGTGTATAAGTCTTGCTATAGTCATACATACATTAAGTCAATTCTCTTTGAAAGTTATATAAAAATATTTTTTTAATTTATTTTATTTTATTTTTTTTATTTTTTGACAGGCAGAGTGGACAGTGAGAGAGAGAGAGAGAGACAGAGAGAAAGGTCTTCCTTTGCCGTTGGTTCACCCTCCAATGGCCACCGCAGCCAGCACACCACGCTGATCCGAAGGCAGGAGCCAGGTACTTATCCTGGTCTCCCATGGGGTGCAGGGCCCAAGGACTTGGGCCATCCTCCACTGCACTCCTGGGCCACAGCAGAGCGCTGGCCTGGAAGAGGGGCAACCGGGACAGAATCCGGCGCCCCGACCGGGACTAGAACCCGGTGTGCTGGCGCCGCTAGGCGGAGGATTAGCCTAATGAGCCGCGGCGCCGGCCTATATAAAAATATTTAAAACTAATAATAGAAATACAAGTTGAGCATCTCTTACCCAAAATGCTTAGAACCAAAAGTGCTTCAGATTTTGGATTGTGCAATATTTTCATATACATAGTGTGGTATCTTTTGGGATAGGACCCAAATCTAAACACAAAGTTTACTTAGATCTGTTTAACCAGCACCTGTTACACATAGCCAGCTGGTAATTTTATACAGTGTTTTTAGTGGGCCTGTGTTTTTTCTTGAACCTATCGCATGAGGTCTTCATGTGTGAAATGAAGACCACTTAGGGCAGTATGTCAACACTCCAAAAGTTTCAGACTTTGGAGCAAGCAAATGGGAACTCTTTGTCTGCCTCCTCACCCCTCTCCTGTTTCTCTGTGCCTCTTGGATAAAAATACAAATGAAAACCTGAATTTTCAGATTAGAGGTGCTCAACTGTGTAAGAATTTAAGTTCTCTCCCTCTTCCTTTTTTTAGAACCAGTGCCCAACTGGACTGATTCCCTGTTATCTTTTGGATGTTTCCATCAGTGTCACCTCTAGTCCAAATTACCATAACACAGCTATTCACTATCATATCACTTTTTATGTTGTCCCACCACTTGCTGTTATTCAGAATTATTTCTTCATCGAATGGTTTCTTTTCTACCTCCTTATCCCCACTGTAAAGTCCAACTGAAATGTAAGGAGGAATTGTCTTGTTTTTCCAGGGTATCCTTAGGAGCCAAATCCTAGAATATTGCTTGATGTGTGGTACTCACTAAATATTTATATTAGTTCATTTTTCCTGCAAAGCTGTTAAATGTAGTCTGAAGATTATCATAAAGAACATTTGGCTTATATGTTTTGGGCTGGAAGTTGTCAGCATTTTAGTATTTACATTTGATTCATTTGACCATATTTTGCTAGTTGTTTAACATAGTAAGTATTGATCTCAATGTGTAGAATTAAAATTTCACTCTTGACAGGTTGACTTTGGCAGAATATCATGAACAGGAAGAAATTTTCAAACTTAGACTAGGACATCTCAAAAAGGTATGTGACACATATGATGTGGGTTTTTAGTTTGATTTGTTACCAGAGTTTGTGGAGAGTTATGTTGTTAGTCTCTTATTGAAGAAGTCAAACTTTGATAGAGAAAGGTCCCAAATTTAAAGCCTCAAACAAAAACAGATGCATTGAAGTTTCATTTTTATATTGAATATATTCAAATAGCAGTCCTTAACCATGTGGCAAATTAAAAATACTGAGATGTGACATAGGCTTATCTAGGAATGATCCCTAGCCAGATGTACAGGGTTCTTAGTATTCTAGGTAGTACCTGTTGGTAACAAATGCTTCATTTTGAAGATGAATTGTAAAATTATGTGCTATTTGTGTCAGGTTTCATAATAAATTGAAATAACAATTATAAACAAATAGTAAGCATTTCTTTGGCTTAACTTTTAATTTGTTGTATGCTTGGTTAAGTGTTTCAATTAAAATATGTACGTGGGAACATTTAAAAAGCCAATTCAGTAATAATACAAAATGGCATAATTTATTGAAAGAAATGTTGCTGTGTGTCATTGTAGTACATTTTTATAATGTATAACTTTGTTCCTGTGTGTAAATGCTGAGATTGTAAATAATCCATTGTTTTTACAGGTCTTAATTTTAATTCAAACCATTTCAAAGAAGTAATAATAACAAAATAGAATTTTCCCTCAAAATAAAGCTCCTGGCAGATGTAAAACTCTTATTCTCTGACCACAGTGTTTTAGTCTGCTTTTGCTTGTCAGGCTATTTAAGAAATTTTTTTATTAGATTGAATTATAGCTAAGATGAATTAGGGAGTTAATTGAGGACAGAGTCTGAAGTCCTTTCTCCAGGGCAGAGTGAGAAAGGACAGAGAGACCAGAGAGCTGCTGTCAGTTACACACTAGTTACTTGTTGAGAATTATCAGTATGCGGGGGACCCCTGCCAGGTAATAACACTAACAGAGAAAAGAAAAAAGTGATTAAATACATAAAATTTGATTAGTGTCCTTTGCTGTGCCATATGTATCTGTGTCACTGCTTAGAAAGCTCCAGCCTAGACTACTCAGATGGTGGATTTGAAGTAATTTAGTTTGACTTGTGTTTCAGCCCTTCTGTTCTGTCATTTTGAAATTGTTGAGTATTTTTTCTATTCTTTGAACAGCTTCAGTATTTCTTTAATACAGCGGGAGCTATAGAACTATAATAATTCTGTAATAATAATAGGACTATAAAGTAGTGTATACAAAGAGAATTTTTGGTATATAATGAGTCACAAGAATTTGTGTGCCCACCTAAGCTTTTTGGATAAAGAATCACAGGGATACATGCTTCATGGCCCAGATAAAGATTTAGCAGTGATTTCTAACCAGCTTCTGGTGTAAAGAGGATACTCCGTATATACTTAGTGACACTGATATCAACTGTACTTGGAATTTTAACTACAAGGTTATTTCCACATACAAAAGCAAATTTTAAATTACTCTGATGATGATATTTTACATGTATCACCTGTTCTATTAGACTTTTATAAAATCTGAAATTATAAAACAGTTAAATTAGGAATTGACTATGTGTATGTCAGAAATAATTTGAAAAGGCTTCAAAGGAGGGTTTGCTTTTGCTTTAGTAGATTTGTGGTTGATAAGTTTTAAAGCTTTCCAGGTACTTTGAAAATGTTTGGTTTCTATGAAAAACGCTTCTACTTTCTAAAGTGTGGTATATAGTTTCATGTTTAGGTATTATATCAACATTTGTAAACTTCTAGAATACTGCACCTTTTCTTCTAACTTCCATTTTATCCTCTTTCCCAGTGTTGGACTTCTATATTTTTCATACTTATTCATTCTTTCTAATAAGTGTCTCTCTTCCATAATCTTTTTTTTCCTTTTTTTTTCCCCCAGCTGTTACCAGGTTGACTAAGCAATCTTAGATTCTAGCTTTATCTTCTTGTTAACCAATTTACAATACATCTTTTCTTTGACCTCCATCATGGAATAATTGGGAGGAGTAAATGAACTAATAATGCTGAAAGATACTCCTAGGTCTTGAATACTCATATTTCCTTCTGAGAAACTATTTTGGTTGGAAAGAACGCATTATAAAGAAAGTTGCTCTCTGTACATACAGAGAGCAAAGTTGAGCAAGTCATGTCACCTAAAGCACAAATAACCAGCAGCTGCCTGCTTATAACTGGATTGTTTTTTGAGTTGTACAATTAAAAAATAAAAAGCAGGAAATTAGATGTATTAAAAAGAATTTATTTGGCGCTCTAAAACACAGTTGGAAAATGAGTCATCAAAAATAGGTTGTTCTATTTTCTGAAAAAGAGATTGGACAGATTGTTAACACCCAGGACAGGTTTGAATTGAGAAAAGATGTTACTTACCACTGCAGTCTTATCAGCTTCCTATGCTCCTGGCTTGTTTAAAAGCTGACATGAATTGTATCCCAACTTGTAAGTATATAGCTTCTACCACAGGCTGAATCCAGTCTGATCTGTGAATAGACGATGTCCATTGTGACCTGCATGGGAAATAGCCTGTGGTATGTACATCTGATTATCAGGGTTGAGGTTGGGAACGTGGCATACTCATGCGTTATTAGCAAGGATGACTTGCTTGCACGCTTTCCCCTTAATGAACTGTCCATGTTAAGCAGAATTATTATATTAAATTTGTTAACACTGAAAAATAAAAATTCCTTCATAAACCACATGGATATATGAGAATAGAAGGCCTATTTGCATTTTCTTGAAGTGGCTAATTATGACATGTATTTCATAATAACCTTAAGTGGGTAGGCCAGATAAAATATGAAAAAGCATATTTACCATTGAATAAAACTGTTCAGACCACTTCCTATGCTACTTTGTAAGTTTAGAAAGTTGTTAAAGTATAATAGAAAGAGGAATGAGACTCAACAGAAACCTCCAAAATTAAGTTCATGGCTAAAGCAAATAAGATATTTCTTGTCACCACCAAAAAATAAATGCAAACTTGGGGCTTTGTGCAGCATCATTTTTTCCCTATTATATCAAACAGTTCTTTTTATCTAATATTTATAGTTTTAACTTTTATCAGTTTATGCAATCATTACTAACTCATTCACTCCATGATTACATCCTGATACAGGCATGATTCAAACTCCCGTTTTAAGACAATTATATAATATTTTTTATATAGACTTTGAGGTTGTGACCAGTTTTGAGTGAACATTAATTTCAGCATTTTGAATGCCACCGTCTCCTGGCTGTGCTTTGTTTGAGGGAACGCAGCTAGTAAGGGGCAAAGCCAGGGCTTGGCTTTTCCAACTGCTATTTATTGCCTACATCCATATGTGTTATTCCTAGAAATCTTTTGTTGTAGATGAATAGCAAGTTGATTCTTTGTAAGAATTAGCTCACTTGTAGCTTTACTGCATCTTTCTTAGAATAGTGGGAGTGTTTGCTTTTCCTTAAGTTTTTTCTTTTTTTGAAGCATGTTAATTTCATTTCATTCCACATAAGAGAACAGTTTTAAGTTAATTGTTTTGGATGTATACATTTTTTTCTTCCTCTCCTTGGGAATTATGTTAGTGACTGTTTTACCAGCTAGAATGTTTCTTTATTATTTGTTAGTATATTTCACTGTGCTGGTTCACTATCACATGCCTATGACAGCCAGGGCTAGGTGAGGTCAAAGCCAGGAGCCAAGAACTCAGTCCAGGTCTCTCATTTGGGTGGCAAGTTACCTGACTAATTGAGCCATCGCTGGCTACTTCCTAGGGTGTAGAGATGGACCAGGACTCAAAACCAAGCACTCCAATATGGGATTAACCACTGCACCAAATGCGGGCCCCTAATTTTCACTCTTTTTTTTATTTTTTTATTTATTTTTTTAATTTTTGACAGGCAGAGTGGACAGTGAGAGAGAGAGAGGCAGAGAGAAAGGTCTTTTTTCCATTGGTTCACCCCACAATGGCCGCTGCGGCCGGCGCACCGCGCTGATCTGAAGCCAGGAGCCAGATGCTTCTCCTGGTCTCCCATGCAGGTGCAGGGCCCAAGGACCTGGGCCATCCTCCACTGCCTTCCTGGACCACAGCAGAGAGCTGGACTGGAAAAGGAGCAACTGGGACAGACTCTGGTGCCTCAACCGGGACTAGAACCCGGGGTGCCGGTGCTGCAAGCGGAGGATTAGCCTATTGAGCCGCGGCGCCGGCCTCTTGTTTTTAAATATACTGGAGAAAACACTTTTTAAAAAAGTATAAATACTCTCAAGTAATTATTTTAATAAGTTTTGAAGATTTAAGATTTCACAGAATAGAATTAAATAGTAAAATATATGGAGACTGTATAAATTATTATGAAACTACTTCATAAAGAAATTGTAACCTTTTTGTTAGCAGTTAATTATGAGGTCTTCCCTGGTTATCACTTATTAAAAGTTTTTAATTACAAGGAGAATAATCTGCTATCTCAGAAGTTATTCCTATAAGGTAAAACTAATGATCTTATTTTATGTACCTGTGCACACCCATGTGGAGTCTGGGTTTAAGGAAACTAATAGATCCTTTGCCAGTTTGCTCTTATGATTGGTCCTGTTTTAGTAACAGTCTTTGATACATTCTGATTGTAGAAAAAACAGTTTATCTTTGTAAAGGAGCTCTGCTGGGTGTTTTTACAGTCAGATCATTACTCTAGAGTTGAAAACTGGGAGTGTTTTCAAGGATTGTTAGTAAATGAACACACATAACTAAAATGAAAATGACTAAAAAATCACCTTCTTGTTAAAAGTTCTTTCTGTAGTCATTCTATTTTTTTTTTTTTTTTTTAAGATTGATTGATTTGTTTGAGAGGCAGAATTACAGAGAGGCAGAGGGGGAGAGAGGTTTTCCATCCTGTGGTTCACTCCCCAAATGGCTGCAATGGCCAGAGCTGGGCCGACCCAAAGCCAGAAGCCTGATGCTTCTTCCAGGTCTCCCATGTGGGTTCAGGGTCCAGGGACTTGGGCCACTTCTGCTGCTTTCCCAGGTATACT